GCAGGGACATAGAAAGGGAATGGACTGACTATTCTTGGGCAGGAGGAAAGGGGTGTGGAGATGAGGGAAGAGATTGGACAATAATCGTGCACCTATGGATGAGGACAGTGGGTGGGGAGTGAGGGTGGAGGGAGGGGTGGGAACTGGGTGGAGGGGAGTTATGGTGGGAAAAAAGAGTAACTAATGTAATAATCTGAACAATAAAGATTTAATTAAAAAATAAATAATTAATTAATTAAGAAAAGACTTAGAGTACAAGTGATAAGGACAACACAATAGAGCACTATAACCTACTTATAGAGTGCTTTTATTGTTGAAAACTGGATTTTTAATTTAAATATTTTGAAAAACAGGAAAAATAATCACTTTGACACCTAATATTCACTGCCATTTTTCTATTTCTTAAAAAGAAAATTGTTACTACATTAATTCTATTGGTTCTCATAACAAATACAAAAGCAAATTATTTCCTTTCTTTTAAAAATGTATTTCACTTATTCTATTCCTTTTATTTTTTCCTAGTTAAATTGTTTAAATTTAGCTTATTTTATACATATTGAATATGAAAGATAAGTATCTTTATCTTTTTTTTAAAATATATTTTATTGATTTTTTACAGAGAGGAAGGGAGAGAGACAGAGAGTCAGAAACATCGATGAGAGAGAAACATCGACCAGCCGCCTCCTGCACATCTCCCACTGGGGATGTGCCCGCAACCCAGGCACATGCCCTCGACCGGAATCGAACCCGGGACCCCTGAGTCCGCAGGCCGACGCTCTATCCACTGAGCCAAACCGGTCTCGGCAAGTATCTTTATCTTTATAAGGATTTTTCGTAGTTGAAATGAATAAGTTGGTTAAGTTTTATTCACTTCTCAGTGAATTTTAAAATCACTCGTCAGATTACTGACTGCTCTGTTCCTAGTACTGAATCCCTTGATTTTTTTTAATGTGAACTCTCCAAAATAATAGTTCTGAATCTTTTAAAAATCATAGATATCTTTGATTTTATGGTAAAATTTATGGACCCTCTTCCTGGAAATAAGCAGAAAAGCCCCCACTTACAAAACTATGCAAATAATTTCAAAGTTAAGCATAAGTACTTCTGTTTTAATGCCTATTTCCATTCAGTTCCAGCAAAGTTTACTCAAAACTAATATAAATATTCTATCTCATTTTTGCCCCATTGATATATGGTCTATTACAAAAACCTAGTATATTCAATATCCTCCTCCCCCTTTAACTTTTTTGTTTTCTCAATATGACTCATTTATTTATTCATTTTTTTTTCCTTTTAAGAGTTCTGTATCTATTTCTTTTTCATTAAACTTATTGGGCTGACATTGGTTAATAAAATTAAATAGGTTTCAAGTGTACAATTCTATAATACATCATCTGTATATTGCACTGTTTGTTTATATTCATACATTCATTCTTTTTCTTTTAAAAAAATATATATTATTGATTTTTACAGAGAGGAAGAGAGAGGGGTAGAGAGTTAGAAACATCGATGAGAGAGAAACATTGATTCAGCTGCCTCCTGCACACTCCCCACTGGGGATGTGCCCGCAAGCAAGGTACATGCCCTTGGCCGGAATCGAACCTGGGACTCTTCAGTCTGCAGGCCGATGCTCTACCCACTGAGCCAAACCGGTTAGGGCCATTCATTCATTCTTACACACTGTAATCCTGTTACATATCTGATATCATGTGATGGATGTATTGAGCATGCAAAGATAAACAAGACTTAATGTTTGCTCTCAAAGAGCTTACAGCCTACTCAGGAGAATGATATATACATAAACAATTTATATACAGCATGATGTGTGCTGTGATAAAGTTGTGTATAGCATGCACCAAAGAAAGAAATGAGAATGTTTCCTTGAGGAGGTGGTACCACAGCAATCAAGGATACAAACTTCCAGTTATAAGATGAGTCATTTCTGGAAATCTAATATATAGCATGGTGGTTATAGTTAATGATACTGTATTGTATACTTGAAGTTTGCTAATAGAGTAACCTTAAGTTTTCTCACCACACATGCAAAAAATAGTAACTATGTGAGGAGATGGATGTGTTAATTAATTTGATTGTGGTCATTTCACAATGTATACAAATATTCAATCATCGCATTGTACACCTTTAAAAAATCAGAGTGTACAACCTAAATATATACAATTTTTCAGTTATACCTCAATAAAATTGAGAAAATTTTTCTTTAAAAAAGAATAAGCATAAAACTTTCAAGCCAAAGGAAATTTGTTGGTGAGGTGGGCAGAGAAGATAAAGGAGATATTAGGGCAAAGCATTCCAGCTGGAGAGAAAATAGGAGAAATTATTAAATGTTTGAAAAATGATGTTACCATTCTCAGTAACAATGTAAACATTCATTCAAGACCAAATAACATTAAATTTTTACTTCTCTCTAAATAAGCATATATTCTACATTTATCTAATTCTTGGATCCTCACCTGCTATCCAGAACTGGAACATTAACGTTGCTCTGTACATTATAAACTGCAATGGTGCCATTGTAATAGCCAACTGCTAAAAGATTAGGTGTTCCAATGGAAAAATCCACAGCAGTAACTCCATATGGACTCTGATAAATACGTTCTGGCCACTGAAACAAAAATACTATATTACGTGTTAAACTTGGTTTTGTACACCACAGTAGGTAGGGTCTGATGATGGCTAAAGTGTAGTCTAGTGCCAATGGGGATGTGAGAAGAGTTAGTCTACATTAAGTTACTTTTCCTAAGTTGCAGTACAGATGAGAACAAAACCTCCTTTCCCTCCCTTTGATGAATTCTCAGAGCTCAATAATTTTAAGAAATATAAGATGGGCTTCTACAATAATGACCATATATTGGCAACTTTTCAATACTATTTGTTTGATCAATATAGGACTACATTCTTAAAGAAACAATAATGGGCTCCAAACAAATGATCTAACATATGTGTTCCTATCTGCTCCAAACTCACTAAGGTACTTTCCTAAAATTTTGTCAAGCATTTTATTGGTTTGTTTCAATGTCTAATCTAAATACTTTCTTGTTTTTAACACCCTATTGGAAAAGAAGACAGCCTACTGATGATGAATCTTATATCAATCCTTCTACCTGTCTAAAATTGCTTCTTCCTTTCTTTTATGCTATATAAACCCATCTTTCTAACAAAAGTGGGACTATTTATAAAAACCCTATTTTCATATGATCTTCTGATCCTTTTCTAAGTTTTTTACTTTACATTTCAGTTGTGAATTAAAACTAAATGTAAAGCTATAAAGTAACAAATTGACTGGGGCTATTTAGCACACACACACATGCACACACACAAATGGTTGATTCTTATTTATTCTCTTTGAAAAGTTCATGGCAATAAGATGGTCATATTAACCTATTTTATATCAGTTGAGGATAACAGAAATCTATCTTATAGGGTGATAAGGAGTTATTCATATATTAAGAAACAACCCAGTATTAAATGAAATGTAATTTTCAAAGGATTTTTTTTTTTGCAAATTCATTCTTTGTAATTAGCCATGATAAACAATAATGGTCCAACTCTGGATCAACAGATATAACAGTACATGGTATATGCTCAATAAATATTTATTGAATGAACTTGTAAATGAATTTACTTTAACCTATATCAAAAAGAACAAATTTTAATTATTATGTACTTAAACCAAAAAAAAAATGTCTTGCTTGAACAACTATCTGCTTTATAATCATGTCAACATTTAATTAAATAAAAATGGGTCTTCATCCTGTTTGGGTTACCATGGGATTCTTTATTGACCAGCAGCAAGCCAATCCTTTTTTTTGCTCTTTAAATCCAAAATGCCCATAGCCAACAGCCAAAAGGTCCTGAAAATCAGAAAATTGCATTTAATATAAGAGAGGGTGACATATAAATATTTGCAAATGTACAAAGATGCATATTAATGAACTGTGTTTATAATAGTGATAAAACATTTCAATTAAGACTTTTTCTAAATACTAGTATACCCTCTATTTTACTTTACACCTTCATCTTCCTAAGCAAAATTATAATGATAATCAAATTTTCAGATTAAACAATAAGTACCCTCAAAGAATAAATTGCTAACAAGTTCCTTTACATCTATGATAATAAAAGGATAATATGCTAATTAGACTGGACGTCTTCCAGATGTCATTCCGGATGTCCTTCCTGATGAAGCTGGGGCCGGAGGGAAGCCAGCACAGGTCCTGGGTGCTTGCTGGCGGGCCAGAGAAGGGAAGCCCAAGTCTCAGGTGCCAGAGGGAAGCTGGTGCTGGCAGCCAGGGGAAGGAAGGTCTACTCTTGCACGAATTTTTGCACATCAGGCCTCTAGTATTAAGATAATCTTCCAAAACTGCATTATTACATTATAATATCCCTTGGGTTTTTTAGAATGACCAAATCATACTAAGTGTAAAATAAAGATATTTAAGGTAAAGACAGGTATCATAATATGATGTGTCTCCCCCCTCAAAATTCATATGTAAAATTCATAATCCCCAATGTGATTATATTTAAGGACAGGGCTTTTAGGAGGCAATTAAGGTTACATGAGGTCATAAGGGTGGGGTCCTAATCTTGTAAAATCAATGGCCTTTATAACGAGAAAGACACAGCAGAGCCCTCTCTACCATATGAGGACACAGACATCTGCAAGTCAGGAAGAGAGGCTTCCCAGGAACACATCAGCTGGCACCTTGATTCTGGACTTCCTAAGATCCAGAATTGTGAGAAAACAAATTTTTCTATTATTTACGCCACCCAGCCTATATTTTATGATGGCAGCCTGAGTTGATGAGTAAAGCAGGTCATTTCAAGACATGCTTATGTAAGTATAAATAGACACTTTGTAATACTTTAAGCAATAAAAAAAAAAAAAGGGATCTCCAAAAGAAAAATAAAAATAAATAAATAGACAAAAGTTAATGATTGCCCTGGCCAGTGTGGCTAAGTTGGTTGGGTACATCCCATGCACCAAACGGTTGCCAGTTGATTTCTGGTCAGGGCACATGCGCAGGTTGCAGGCTCGATCCCCAGTAGGGGGCGCACAAGAGGCAGCCAATCGATCTTTCACTCTTGTAAAATGAAGACAACCCACCGAATAGGAGAACATATTCACCAATGATACATCTGACAAAGGATTAATATTCAAAATTTGTAAAGAACTTCTAAAACTCAAGACCAAAAATACAGACAATCCAATTAAAAAATGGGCAAATGAGCTTAATATACACTTCTCCAAAGAGGACATACAGATGATCAATGGACATATGAAAAGATGCTCAGCATCAATATAATCATCAGAGATATAATTGCAGATTATAACCACAATGAGAAATCACCTTAAACCTGTCAGAATGGCTGTCATCAATAAATCAGCAAACAAGTGCTGGCGAGGATGTGGAGAAAAGGAAACCTTTGCACACTGATGGTGGGAATGCGGATTGGTGCAGCCACTATGGAAAGCAGTCTGAAGTTTCCTCAAAAAAGTAAAAAATCAGACCCCCACATGACCCTGCAATTCACTCCTGGGAATGTGTCCAAATAAACTTGAAACACTGATTTGAAAGAATATATGCACCTTTATGTTCACTGCAGTATTATTTACAAAAGCCAAGATTTGGAAGCAGCCCATGTGTCCATCAGTAGATGAGTGGATTAAAAAGCTGTGGTACATTTACACAATGGAGTACGAGTTGGCCATAAAAAAGAAGGAAGGCTTACCCTTTGCAACAGCATGGATGGACCTGGCGAGTATTATGCCAAGTGAAATAAGCCAGTCAGGAAAAGACAAGTACCATATGATTTTACTTATATGTGAAATCTAATGATCAAAATACATAAAACAAAAAACAGAAACAGATTCATAGATACGAAGAACAGACTGAATGCTGTCAGAGGGGATGGGGGTTGTGAATTGGTGGGAGAGGCCTGGGTGAAAAAGGTGAAGAGGTTAAGAAAAAACAATATGAGAAAATGGGGGGTGGAGGGAGGTAGAAAAGGTAAAGAGGGGTGAATGGTGATAAAGAGATTTGATTGGGGTGGTGAACAAACAATACAATATACAGAATAATGTATTATAGAATTGTACACTTGAAGTCTATATAATTTTATAAATCATTGTCACCACAATAAATTCAATAAAATAAAATAAAAATAAAATGTTAGTGTATTCAGTTTCCAAACAGAATTCATATGTGTTTATTACAGTTATTACTGATTTATTGAATCTCACTTATCTATGAGATGTTCTCAAGTATAGTGTTACAATGACAAATCCAAATTAAAAGGATTTTATTTTATTAAGAATCTTATACATCCCAGCCAGTGTAGCTAAGTGGCTGAATGTTGAACTATGAACCAGGGGTTCATGGTTCCATTCCTGGTCAGGGCAAATGCTCAAGTTGCAGGCTCGATACCCAGTGGTGGGCGTGCAGGAGGCAGCCGATCAATGATTCTCTCTTATTATTGAAGTTTCTATCTTTCTCTCCCTCTTCCTTCCTCTCGGAAATCAATAAAAATATATACATTTTACAGTGTTATTTAGTCTTCAACAAAAATGATTATAGAACTTCTGTTTTTTAATAACCATAACAACTATCATATTTGCACATAGCATCTTAAATGACGTGGCAATAAAATAATAAGGCTAATTCTTAACCATACATAATACAATACAACTTAAACCAATGAATTAGTTTTTATCACTTTAAAAATACACTAAATACTTATTGCCATTACATAAAAGCGTTTTGGAATAACGAGGTGAGAATCATGTCTTCAGAAGCAGTTTATAAACCCCAAGAGAAAATAAGTCTCATTACTCTATAATCATCTCTTTTTTACAAGCAAACGAGCCATCCCCCAATTTGATGATTCATTTAATGAATGAATGGTCTTTCTCAGGATGATTTTTAGCAATTAGTATTTAAAAGCAAGAAACCTGGAGGTAGATGTTTGGGTTTGAACTCCAGCTGTTTTACCTACATTGTACAACTTTGGGCAAGTTGTTTATCCTTTCTGTGCTTCAATTTCCTCAACAACATCATGAAACCTAACTCACAGAGTTTTTGTATTAATACAAGTAAAATACAAATACAAATCTGGATACCTGAGTTTAGTAAATGTTGAAATAAATCAAATATATACTATATTCTGCTTCATTTCTTAATATCTGATACGGATTCAGGGAGTGTCTCAAGTACGTCTATTAAGATAAAAATGGTGCCCTAACTGGTTTGGCTTAGTAGATAGAGCGACGGCGTCAGGACAGAAGGTTCCCAGGTTTGATTCCCATCAAGGACACATGCCCAGGTTGCAGGCTCAATCCCCAGTAGGGAGCGCGCAGGAGGCAGCCAATCAATGATTCTCTCTCATCATTGATGTTTCTATCTCTCTCTCCCTCTCCCTTCCTCTCTGAAATCAAACAAACAATCAATATAGATATATATAAAGATAAAAATGATAATGTATTTGTATTAAAGGAGAAAAAAATTTTCATAATTATATGCATTTTTCATTTTGAAACATGAATTTTCTTTAGAGGCATTTTAAAACTAGGGGTTGTTTATTTAAATACTTGCCTAATATAAAAAAAATATTCATTAGGACTTGACAATTTCCCTTAAATGCTAGAGATGGAATTGTTAAAATATTAGATAACTTACTGGATTTGTTTTATTCCAGGCAAGGCTGCTCACATTAAGGCCTTTGGTTAAGTCACAGGAAAAGGACCAAAGTCGTTCCAAATTGGCTGGTATTGTTGATTGTTCTTCACCTATTTCTATTTCTTCATCCTCTTCCTTCTTCTCTTCTACCTCTTCACGTTTTTTACCTTCTGAAAGGTCTTTATGCCCTTCAGGTTTGGGTTCTAAAATTAAATCAAATAAAAAGATTATCACCTGGCCAGTGTAACTTAGTGGTTGAGCATCTACCTATGAAACAGGAGGTCATGGATTCTATTGCTGGTTAGGGCATATGCCTGGATTTCCAGCAAAATCCCCATTGTGGGGCATGCAGGAGGCAACCTATCAATGATTCACTCTCATCATTGATGCTTCTCTCTCTCTCTCTTTCTCCCTCTCCCTCTCTGAAATCAATAATAAGTATATATTTTTTAAAAAATACGATTGTCTTCTTCTAATCTATAGGACCCTGCCAAAAGCTCCAAACAGCATCTCTATCTACTATCAACACTGAGCACCCCTAGTGTGCAATAAGGTCTCTACCTCTGGCCAGTCAGAACTCAAATGTCTCCCAGACCAGAGTAGACTCTGACACTTGTTCATTTTCTAGCTCCTGGTGGTTGTTCTTTACTTTCCGCAATTTTACCCCAACATGCACAGTTTTTGTATCAGGCAAAGACTCTATGGTAGATTTATGCATTTTTTTCCTCTTCATAGCTTCCTCCTGCCTGATTCTTTATCCCACCAATTCCAGTCATCTCAGACTCTCTGAACTCTCATCTATATCTGTGTGTCATCAAGTAGCAAAACTACATACTTAGCTACAATTCACCCTATGCCCTGTGGTCTCATAATTATCTACATCATAACCAAAAGTAAAAGTACTGTTTCATCTTTTGAAAATGGTCAATGATGGGTTCCACATGGCTGTGATAAGCTTCCAGTTGTTATGGGCAGACTGTCTTAAACTTGCCCTCCTGCCACAAATGAATATAAAACTGTACATGAAATATGAGGTAACTGTTTTCAGGCATTAAACAATAGGCATTGCACAGCTGTGAACACCAGGGCCAAGCATACTGTCAGCCTGGGACCGTTATCTCACCACGTGCTGGGACGTGAGTGGAGCAGAACACAGCAGTCTAGCTGAGGAGGCACAGATAAAAATGCACAAAGGCAGAATGTTAGACTGAGCAACAAAATAAAGACCAAACTATATATTGTTTATAGTAGACACAGGTTAAACATAAAAATAAAAATGTTATAAGTAAAAGGAATAAGGATAATGCAAATAATAAGGATAAGAAAGTTAGTGAGGCTATAGTAATGTTATACAAATTAGGCTTCAAGACAGTATTACCAGAATAAGTATGGGCATTTCCTAATCATGAAAGTATAAATAATGATTTGTAAAAAGGGTAGCATCCATAAGGCAGAATACTTTTAAGATTGAATGTACCTGATAACAAAGCTCTCAAATATGTAGAGCAAAATTAATAAACTTAAAGGGAAATATAAACAAATTTATAATCCTAACTAGAGATTGAAATATTACTCTCACATTAATTGATAGAAAGGGTCAACAAAACTTCAATAAATAAAGGGGAGGATGGGAGACATCTGTAATACTATCAACAATAAAAAATATTTTTTTAAAGTCAATAAAGATAAAAATTGAAAATACTATCAACAATTTGACAAAATTAACATTTTAAAAATACCATACCAAATAACAACAGAATATAAAATCTTCTTGAGTATAAAACAGTCACCATATGCTGGGCCATAAAACAAGTTTTGATAAATTTCAAAGGATAGAAATCATATGGAATATGTTCCCTGACCACCACAGAATGTTAAATTAGAATTCAATAAGAAAAAATAGTTTAGCTCTAGCCAGTTTTGCTCAGTGGATAGAGCATCAGCCTGCATACCAAAGGGTCCTAGGTTTGATTCCGGTCAAGGGCATGTACCTTGATTGTAGACTCCTCCCCAGCCCAGGCCCTGGTTGGGACTCATGTAAGAGGCACCAATCAATGTGTTTCTCTCACATCGATATTTCTGTCTTTCCCACTCTCTTTCACGCTCTCAAAAACCAATGGAAAAATATCCTCAAATGAGAATTTTTTAAAAAGAAAGCGTAGTTTAAAAATCACTAAAAACTTAAAAATAAAAAGACACACCTCAAACTAACCTATTGGTCAAGAAAACCCACATAAGAAATAAAAAGTTAACTGAATAATAATGAAAACACAAGATATCAAAATTTGTGGGATATAGCTAATATAGTACTTACAGGTAAATTTATAATGTAAAATGCCTGTCTTAGATAAGAAAAAATATGTGAAATCAATGACAAACTTTCTATCTTAAAAAACTGGACAACTAGACTAATAAAAAAGGAGAAGAGAATTCACAAATGAATATAAAAAATTAAATAGATGATATCACTATAAAGTCTACAGCTACTAATATTAGATAGAATTTGAGGAGAGAATATTATTAATAGCTTTATGCAAATAACTTCAACCACATAAACACAATTTACCAAAACTGACACAGATAGGAAAAGAATATCTGAATAACCCCATATCTGTCAAAAAAAATTACGTTCCAGATGGGTTCACTGGTAAATTTTATCAAGCAATTAAAGAAGAAGCAATACACATTTTTTTGGAATATAGAGAATGAGAGAAGACTTCCAAAACTCATTTTATATGTCTATCATAACACTGATACAAAAACTCATCAAGGGATTTACAGGAGGAAAACATTGCAAAAGAAATATGCTACATGAACTCAGTGCAAAATTCTTAAGAGAATATTTTAAAATCGAATATACCAACATATAAAAAAGGATAATACAACATAACCAAGTGAGGCTTAACCATAGGGATTCAATTTGTTTTAGCATTTGAAATCAAGCAATGTAACTGGCTACATTGACAAATTAAAGTAGAAAATTTATATAATCACTTTAATGAATTAGAAAAAAATTTGGACAAAATCCAACACCCACTTATCTTTAAAAATGTCTTGCAAACTAGAAAGAGAAGGAAATTTCCTCAAATCAATAAAGTGCATCTACAAACAACTTTAATTCAAATTTAACAGTGAAATATTGAATCTTGCCCTCTAAGTCCAGGAACAAGTTAAAGATATTTGCAAACTTGGGACAGGCAAAGATTTCTTGGAGAGGACATGAAAAACATTAACTACAAAAGAAAATCTGAAAGAGAAGACCTCATCGAAATAAAAAAAATTCATCAAAAGACAAATATATTGGCAAGCCATAGGCTTAGAGAAGATAGCTGCAATACATGTATCTTTCAAAGAGCTTGTATCCAGCCTAGCCAGTGTGGCTCAGTTGGTTGGAGCATTGTCCTCTGCACCAATAAGTGGCAGGTTTGATTCCCAGTCAGGGCACATACCCAGACTGCAGGTTTGATGTGTGCAGGAGGCAACAGATCAGTGTCTCACTCTCACATCAATGTGTCTGTGTCTCTCTCTCCCACACCTCTCCCTTCCTTTCTCTCTTAAAGGGGGAGGGGGGGGGAAGAGCTTGTATCCAAAACATAGAAAAATACGTTCTGACAACTTGATTTTAATAAAAACCTCAATTTTAAAGTGGGCAGAAAATATGCTTAGCCGGTGTGGCTCAGTGGTTAAGCACTGACCGATGAACCAGGCAGTCACAGTTAGATTCCACGAGTAGGCACAGAATAAAATTGAAAGTAAAAATATATTAATAAAAATTTTTAAAGTAGGCAAAGGACTTGATCAAACATAACACAAAATAAGATATACAAATGACCCAAAAAAAAGCACAAGAAAAGTACTTAATATGACTATCTTTAGGGCATTAAAAAGATTGCCAACATCAGGTGTTATCAAGAATATAATGCAACTGGTACTCTTATATTGCTTGTGGGTTGTAAGATGGTACAAGTACTGTGGGAAGGTATTTTTCAGTTTCTAAAAAAAATTAAACATAATTCTACCCAATGATCCAACAATTTCATCTCTAGGTAATTACCCAAGAGAAATGAAAACATGTCCACAAAAATACACACAACAATGATCATAGCAGCTTTACCCATAAGAGTTCAAAACTGGAAACAGTCTAGGTACCCATCAACAGATGAATGAATATACATATCATGATGGTGTTTTCATAAAATGGAACAGTACTTGGGAAAAAAATAAACTACTTATATACGCATCAACCTAGATGAATCTCAAAAACATTATGTTGAATGAAAAAAGCCCGACACCAAAGAATACTTACTATAGGAACCCACTTATATGATATACCAAAACAGCTAATCAGTAGTGAGAGAAATCAGGTGAATGCTTTCTATGGGGGAGAGGAGATAAACTGTAACTGGAAAACCACACAAGGGAACTTTTTATTTCTTTATTGATTAAGGTATTACATATGTGTCCTTATCGTCCCATTGCCCCCCCCCACTGTCCCCCACTCATGCCCTCACCCCCCTGGTGTCTGTGTCCATTGGTTAGGCCTATATGCATGCATACAAGTCCTTTGGTTAATCTCTCCCCCTTACCCCCACCCTCCCCTGCCTTCCCTCTGAGGTTTTTTTGTTGTTGAATCTTTACTGTCTCTAGAGCTGTTTTTATTTATCAGTTTATGTTGTTCATTATATTCCACAAATGAGTGAGATCATGTGATATTTATCTTTCTCTGACTGGCTTATTTCACTTAGCGTAATGCTCTCTGGCTCCATCTATACTGTTGCAAATGGTAAGAATTCCTTCTTTTTTACCACAGCATAGTATTCCATTGCATAGATGTACCACAGTTTTCTAATCCACTCATTTGCTGATGGGCACTTAAGCTGTTTCCAAATCTTAGCTATGGTAAATTGTGCTGCTATGAACATAGGGGTGCATATATCCTTTCTAATTGGTATTTCTGGTTTCTTGGGGTATATTCCTAGAAGTGGGATCACTGGGTCAAATGGAATTTTGGGGATTGATGGATATATTCTCTATTCTATTAGGGTATTAGTTACACAGGCTTATATATTTTCAAAATGTATCAAACTACACAGTTAAAATATGTGTATTTCATTGTGTGTAAATCTTACCTCATTAAAAATTTTTCTATGGTATTTTTATTTCTTAGGTATATTTAAAGAAGTGATCTATCAACAGTTTTGTTTTTAAAATGTCAAAATGCACCGCATAAAGTAAATTTCAACCTTATAACTCTTTAAACATAGGATTAAAAGTTTATGTATGTTTTGAAAATGTTAAGTATCAACCTGATATGAGAGAAAGGACATAGTTTTTTAATATTCTTGGATATATGTAAGCAAAAGGTTTACGAACATTTCTCACACATGCTATTTTGTAACCTGACTTTTTGATGTAGGCATATAGAAATTTGATTTTGACTTGAAAGAGCAAGAAAGATTTCATGAAGCAGTTAGAAAGATGGGAATACAATAGGCAAAGATGTGATGGATACAAGGGTGGACTGACAAACAAAGTACAACTAAGGTAAGGCAGGAATGTTCAGGTTTTGTTTGCAAATTGTCAGGTAAGTATTAAATGGCTAACGTTTAGGGTCTCCAAAGTCATACCATGAGATGAAATAATCTGTGGCCATATTGCAAGTATCTTTGTATGATACATATGAAGTTTGTAATTTATGCTAGACCATGGGACAGTTCTGAAGTTTTTTAGCAGTTAAATTCCATGTTCAAACCTGTGTTTATGATACATCAGCATGTCAGAATGGTAGAAAGAAAAAACAATTGGAATGGAATCAAAAGATCTTGGTTGAAGGCCTAGCTTTGTCATAGACTATGTAACCTTATAAAGTTCCTGTAGCCTTTATTTTGTTCATTCAAGTATTGAAAGGTTGAATTAGATAATCTCTAAAATCCTTCCAAATATTTGAGAACATGTGAGATGGAATTTGTAGCAATGAGAATAGGAAGAAAGACCCTGCAATAAAACTAGGAAGAGGTCATAAAAGCCAGAACCTGGGAGGTATAAAAGGCAATGGAAAAAGAAATTTGAATATGAGAGAATATCTAATGCAGGGCAAAGGGAGCCACAAATGCTTATGAGTTTTTAAATCTAAGGAACTATGACTTGCTGTGGGCCCTTTAGTCTGAGTTCTGTTACTTGCATGTTTAGGGCTGAAAGCTATATAAACACATCTTCTGATAAGTGATAACCCAGCTGATATTAAACTTAGTAGTAATAACACCATTTAATTTTTAAAAATAGTTGAGTTTGTTTAAATTTTATTTTTAAAATACCTTTTAAAATAGGAAGCTGACGATAAGCTGCAAGTTTGGGCTGAAATACATTCTCCATTAGAACTCGTTCCATAAAAAATAAGTCCTGGTGAAACTTTTCAGATTTGAATATTGCTTCTGAGTGGTCTTCTTCTTCATCATGCATTTTAGCCAGAATTGCATTTTCTATTTCCATTATAGAACTGGCTTCACTATCTGTAAAATGCAAACATAATGTAATGATAAAATAATCCAAATAATATTAGATGATTCATCCTAAATATTAAAAAATGACATTTTGTCATTACTATTTGTTTTCTTCCAGAATTCAACAACTTCAGGAGACATTTGTTGAATAATTTTTATGTACCAATCACATGCAAGATATACATATATTATCTCATTTTGGAATTCTCAATCACTCAAAAGTATACTAGCTTTCAAAAGATAAGCAATGATAACCTCATGAGGAAATTTTCATTCATGTCTATACATTTTTATTCCAATTAAAACAAGATAATCAGTCTTCAGATAAAGGTCCAATCTGATTGTTGCTTTATAGGAATATTATACTACTGCTGTGTTAATTTTTTATTGACATTATAGTAAATTATCAAAAACTTAGTGGATTAAAAACATGCAAACTTAGAGTGCTGTAGGTTAGCGGTTTGGATGCAGCTCTCATTGAGCTAAAACCAATAAGTGAATAGGGTTTTGTCTCTTTCTGAAGAGTCTAGAGGAGAATTTGTTTCTTTGTCTTTTCCAGCTTTGGACCCACCCACATCCTTCCCCCATCTTCAAAGTCAGCAATATTACATCTCTCTGACCTTCTGTCATTGCATCTCTCTCTGATCACAGCTAGGAAAGGTCCTCCATTTTAACATACATAGGACTAGATGGAGCCCACTCGGATAATGCAAGATCATCTTCTCCTTTGAAGACCTTTATTTAATCAGATCTGGGAAGTCTTTTCTGCCATGTAAGGTAAGGTATTTACACGTTCCAGGTATTGGGATGTATACATTTAGGGGGAAGTATTAGTCTGCCTAGCACACTATTTAGCAGGCTTTTATTTTAAAAAACAAAGGGAAATCCTGCTTAACTAAAGATGGCCCAGATATTTTTGCCTGTTCCTCCTGCTAAATGCAATTAAAAATCCTGGAATTTCCTATATAATAAAAGGATGATATGCAAATAGACCAAATGGCAAAACAACTGAACAACCAATCAAAGTGTAATATGCTAATGATATGCTAAAGCTGCTCAACTGCTCACTATCATGTGCACTGACCACCAGGGGCAGATGCTCCAACGGGTAGGTGAGCTTGCTGCTGGGGTCCAGCTGATTGGGACTGGGCGAGATGGGCCGGATATGCCCTGGAGCCCTTCTGCGATCCCTTCTCAGCCCAAGTGTGCTCCGGTGGGGTTCCTCAGCCTGGCCTGTGCCCTCTCGAAATCCAGGACCCCTCAGGGGATGTTGGAGAGCCAGTTTTAGCCTGATCCTGCAGGCCACTCTCCTTGGGAGGGTGCCAGACGCAATGCTCATGGCTGGCGAGCGCTGCTGTGGCAGTGTGAGCCTCTCCCGATCAGGACTGACTGGGCGTGAGCCTGCAGCAGGCACAGTGGGGCTGGGATGAGCGGGAGTGGCAGGTACGAACTACAGGTGGCGTTGGATTGTGGGTTTCGGCCCTATCCCTGCAGGCCACCCAGAGGGGCCCCACCGTGCACAAATTCATGCACTGGGCCTCTAGTATATATATAACATGAGAAGGCTTTAAAAGTCTTTGGAAGAGGAAGGTAGAGCACCTAGATAGAGTCCTCAGAATCCAAGGAATGATACCATTGTGAATTCTCTGGGTTTTCTTATTGCCACATATATTCCAAACATAAAGCTGAAGAAGCCAGCAAATTTAATGAAATTGAATTGTAAATTCTATCCCTCCCCGACTCTGCCTCCCCCAAAAAATCTCCAGCCACAGATGGTTTTACTGGAGAATTCCACCAGACATTTAAAGAATTAACACCAATTCTATACAACCTCTTCCAGAAAATAGGAGGGAACGGAAAATTTCTAATGCAACTTATGACATTAGGATTCAAAAAACAAGACAAAGAAAGTACAAAAGAAGATATAGACCAATATCCCTCATGAGCATAGACACAAAAATACTTTTCATGTTCCATACAGAAAGAAAATATTGTAACTGCTAAAAAAAAGAATTTATTAAAAATGTCATGTGAAAAACCTCATTCAAAAACTGAAATCTTACTTTTTTCTGTAGTACTCTCTGGCCCTCTTCGATCCTGATCTTTAGAAGGTACACTGACTTTACTGCTCGACTCAATTATAGATCGTTTTACACTTCCTCTACAGCTTGAGTCAACTGTAGATTGTTTTATTGGTAAAGATGCAAGCTCCAGAGTATTATAAGAATCATATAAATCCCAAGCAGTAGACATTATGCCTAAATAAAGAGACAGCAAGGTAAAAATTACTATAAACCAAAATTCTAATATTTTAGTTTACACACAACTAGTCATAGCAAAATCTAAGATATCTACTGTCTAGGGGGGGGAAAACATTTAACCACAATGGCAGGAAGTGGATAAAAATAAAAATAAATAGATCATGAAGACACCTTAAGAGATCCTTAGGCATCACACTCTTACCACCTATACTTTAGTGGTAGCTCCAAATTAGCCTTACCATCCTTTCTGATCCCCACACCTTCCTTCTCTTCATCCCAAACTGGAACAGTAGAAGATCAACATTCTCTCAGTTGACATGAGCCCAGACAATTTATAATGATAAAAGCGTAATATGATACTTAGACTGGACAGCCAAACAACCTTCCAGACATCTTTCCAGATGACCTTTCAGACGAAGCTGGGGCTGCAAGGGCAGGCCAGGGCAAGCAGGGCTGCAAGGGCCGAGCCCCTTGCACGAATTTCGTGCATCGGGCCTCTAGTCACGTTATAACAAGGTTTACTATTCCTTTACTACGGTTAACACGTAAGAACATGTTATATTCCTCAGAACTTTGTATTTATAATCATCTAATTCCATTTTACCAAGAAAAATTTTCTATATACTTATTTGAAAAGATCATACAAATTGAGAAAATGACAGGCCCTGTTCTCACAGAGCTGGTAGAGTAGTAGGGTTTTGAAATTCTCTTTTAATTTTTTGTTTATCTATATTTATTCAAATGAGCAAATATAATACTGTCTACAAAAAAAAAGCTCCCAACCCTTAGTTGCTGATATAAAAATGAAAGGCTTATATAGCAATTATTTCACCAGTGACCACATAATAATATATTCCTACATGCTAAACTTTCATTTAAAGTACAGGGATTTAATAAAGAATTTTCCCCCTGAAAATAAAAACAGGATCTGGACCTAATAAGTGCAACTACTTCATTGTTAGAAGCTTTTTTCATAATGAAAAATGGAGGCTCGCTGGGGTTTAACAAGGTTTTCAATTAGTAGGAATATTAATTCACATTTCATAACATTTCTATCTTATTGAATTTATTTTAATAGTATTAGTAAAATCATATACAGAATAAATACCTAGTCTATTTTGCTGAATTGAAAGCAGAATAATTTCCATGTTCATGGAATAAAAGATCATAGAAAGAAATCATCTTTGAATATTAAATTATCTAACCTCCACCCCTTTATCTGATAGTTTAAGTTGAATTACACTGTTATATGGCCACTAATAAAATAATTCCTATGTAAATGAATGTGCATGTTATAAATGAGCAATGTAAAATGTTAGAGTGATTTACAATTGTTTCTTCTTTGAAGATAACATTGGTAATTTTACTTTGGATCATTATACTTGTTCATTTGAATAAAGTAATGTAAGAAATAGAAAATTTCAAACCACATCCATAAAATCATGGACAAGATGGAATAATAAATTATTATAACCTTCTAATTGTATGTTGTATATTATTAAAGAAAGCTATGTTAACTAGTATTAGAAAAAGTATTTCCACCTATACCTATGTTCTGAGCATTTTTGAATCTCAGATATACCTAAATAGTTTTTATACATTTAAAAACAGTTTCTTTCTACTAGTTTAATTCTAACTACAAAAGAGTAGCAACTGGTTATATAACATTTACAGAATAATTACTTTTTAGCTGAGTAAGAAGACATGGTCACTTGGGGAAAAAAAAGGTAAATATGACTTTCATGTCCATCACCCAGAGATAATAACTGCTAACATTCTAGTGTATGTCCTTCTAGATTCACATATAAATGTATTTGTATGTAAACAAATATGTGTATATTTTAATAAAGTGAGTTCATATCACACATACTTTTATTAAAAACTTTTTATTGTAGTATCATATATAGAAAACAAAGTAGCTTTATGAAATCTACAAAGTTATGAAATTTAATTGTATTTTCAAAAGTTAGCCAGAAACACTAATACACTTACTCTATTATCCACTTATCTATAATGCCACTTTTATTATAGGGGCTTGGCCCCCGTCGCCACAGCTCTGTCCAGAAGGTTGTCTGGAAGGATGTCTGGTCTAATTAACATATTACACTTTTATTGTTATAGATTACTACATACATAACTGTTAAGTGGGGAAAGAATCCTCACTTTTTGTGAATCTTTACAGAAGAAACTTCACTAAATGAACACTTCTGGCCTTTGTCCTTCACTGATGCATTAGAAGGAATTTCAGTTCAGTCACTTCTGAATTCTCTTGTTAGGCATGCTCATTTACAGAAAGCATTCATTCTGGTCTGTTCTTACCTCTACAGAGGAGATCTGTAGTTGGCTAGTTGTGCCAATCACTATTGCTAAGTTCTATTCTGGAGGTAAGAAATAGCAAGCCCACTTAGCTGCAGATTGAAGGCTACATTTTTCAATTAACTTTATCAATAATAAAGGTAATATTTTGATTTCCATCTCTCTGACTCCTAAATCTCTTTCAATTTCATACAAAATCAGGGAAGGAAGACATCTATAAAACCTTAATATTTACTCGGTTTGTATCCAAATTCTTTAGTATAAATTGTCTTTTATTATTTTAATAAAATTTTCATTGTAAAATATATACATATCACCGAAGAATGTATAACACATATATGTGTAGTGTCAAGAAAAATTAATAATACCAGGTACTTACCAGCCATACAAAATTGAACATCCCCAGGTGCTTAGAAGTCCCTTGGACATTCTCCTAGCATAGCTTTCTTCCTTCTAGCTACCTAGTTTATAGTTTTGCTGAATTACAAAGGCCATTACGATTATAACCTTCCTTCTAATTACCCCTTTGGCAACACTTCACAGATTTAGGACTATGCAGTGTTCTCAGCGTTGTTAATTTAAAAACATTAAAAGATAGTAGTTAAGAGAACAGGCTCTAGAACTAGACTGTTGAGGGGTATCATTTGTCTGCAGTACTAGCTGAGTGACCTTGGTCAAGTTAGTTAACTTCTCTTTGCTTGTTTCTTCCTCTATAAACTGGGGAATAATAATAGTACCTACTTCATGAGGTTCTTGTGAGAATTAAACCGGTTAAAGGCCTAAAATAGTGTAAAAGGCCTAGAATAGTATCTGGTTCATATTAAATGTTATTAGTTATACATGATATTCTTTGTAACATAAACAATTAGTTTCTATAACATTTCATAAACACTTGAAGAGTACAAAGTTCTATGATACAGTTTGTGTAAAAATGAAAAATGATAATTATGTTATTTAAATCTTCTATATCTATGTTTATTACTTGTTAACTTAGTTGTCAAATTCCGAAAGCTGGTACTCAGTTACTGTTGTGATTTGGCCAAATTATTCCTAGTTTTTGCTTTATATACTTTAACATTTACTTGTTAATTGATA